CAAAGACTGAGTGATTGTGTATCAAGCCACAATCTGATGATGATGATGCTTTTTCCCTTTGGATTTTCTATTGTATTGGTAACAGCAGAAAGAAAGAAAGAAAGAAAGAACCGGCGCCAGGAAGATAAAATCATGTTTATAGACATGAATCTGCACAAAAATGAAGAAAATAGTTATAATATGTACCAGTAATCCACCTTGTCAGAGTGGACTTTTCAATCCTGATATGTATTCATATTCTGCTAAATATCTCTATAGACAAAAACAGCAGCACGCACGGTAAACTATAGACTGGGACCGTTTCAGTTGCTGAGACGGGTTGACACTGAGATGCTTCAAGACATGAGTGAATCAGTCAGTTGTGTATTTGATTTAGCAGATTAGATGTCTGTTCCTTCCTGTCAGTCTGCCTGTACAAGGCGGAGGATGTCATGATGTCCTTATACACTGACCTTGATCTTGTAGGCTGAATGGGCTCTTGTGCCTCTTGGCTGGCCTCGCTTCACTTCAGTCATAATGCCATTTTTTAACACTTTCTCAGCTCTATCAATTGCTCTGCACTTTGTGTGACTCATGCCTTAATATTCAAACACTATCGTCTGTGCAGATGTTAGTGTTGCTGAATTTTCTCTTTAGGTGACTGTGTTCTGCTGCTGTTGAAAGTTTGCAGTAAAAAAATAAAAAAATACAGACTGAGAAGTACAAATACAAACTGAGAGATTTAAAACAGAAGAGACACAGGTCATAATGCCACCAAAACAGAAATCCCTTGTCGCACAACTGAAAATGAATGAAATCTTGAAAAAAAAAAAAAAGGCCAAGGTTTGGGCTGAAACATAAACAGATTTGTCATTTTTTTCATAACATTTTAAAAGACAAAAAGAACTTGGACTAACGCCTCAGCCACAGCAATCCAGTGAAAAATCACAATTATTGTGTGGTTTCAAAAGTGGTGTTACTTCAGGAAACTGAAGGTTAAGTTTTTTTCTTTTGAAGAGATGTTGATACCATAAACTGTATAAAAAAATGTACAAACCATCTGTGACATTGCTCTTAGGTTTCATGAGGAGCTTTTAAAGCTCAGTGTGCTTGCTCTGCCCAACGCTATGTTGAGAGTTTCTGAATCCTCCTGGCTAATCCTGAAATGAGCAAAGAAGTGGCTGTGAGAGTGGACCTGAGGTCAGTCATGCAAACAACTCTGAGCCACAGACTGGCCTATGATATCAGCCACCTGTTTCTCAAAGAGGCCACACATTTGATTACGCACAACTTCAAACCTTAACAAAATGTCATAAAGGTGAGTTTTGAAAGCAACCACCCCCATACAGCTGTCATGAATTGGGAAATAAGCTACAGAGACCAAATGCGTTTCTTGGACCAGACTGTAAGCATGTTTATTTCTGCTGTAAATTTGGACATTTTAACATGGAGGTCTATGAGGACCGACGGACTTTTGGATCCAGCCTCAAGTGGTCATTTGAGGAATTGCATCAGCTCCATTTTTCAACACCAGTGGTTGCTGCTTGGTTGATGCATTTAGTTTAAGATAAAATATTTTTTGAAAGTGTATCTATGTCCTTTTTTATTCAGGCTGCTCCCATGAGGGGAACTCAACGGATCATCTGTTTCCATTTTTTCTTGTCCTCTGCTTTGTCAGGCTTTGTCAGGCCAACTACCTGCATGTCCTCTGGCAGCTCAATCATCAGCATCCCTCTAGCAATATACCCAACATTTCCCCTGCACACATGTCCAAACCCAGTCAATGTCGCCTCTCTTACTTTGTCCCTCAGCTGTTTCTCTGATGCCTTTATTCTTCATAATTATCAATGAATAGAATCTTTAACTCAATCACGTCCAGCTCAGCTACCAACATTTGTTTAGCGGCAAAACACCAGGAAAACTGCAAAAGTTAAGGAAATATATGCACAATCAGAAAAGACGATAGTTAATTACTTCCTTTCTTTATCTCACATCTGCTGAGACGTCAGTTGGACAGCTGGGGATCCTGTTTTCTGACTTCTGCTTAGAACCCAATATGTGAATCCAAACTACCGCAAACTTTTATAGCAAAACGCGGCATCCGGCAGTTTAAATATGAATATGACAGCGATCTGGATGGTTTCAGTGTCAGCAAACTAAATCTTTACATAGAAGGGACACACACTGACCCATAGCATGTTGCCAGATAGTTGGAGCCAGATTACCTGAAAACAATTCATCAATCATTTCTCTGCAATCCTGTTGTTCCTGATCATCTCTCACTGCACAGCTGAGTCACTTGAGGTCAAATAAAGTCCAACATCAACAACACTACAGAGTGATACGTGAACATCTTCTGCATGACGACATTTCTGTGACAACACAGCAGTTTATTTTGTTTAGTGTTTCGTGTGTATGTAATCAGTTTATGCATATTTTAAAATCAAGTTCATTATATTAGTAGTAATACATGCTTAATCTCGCTCTGGTTCACTGAGCATATCCATTAATACGGTTACTGATTCAGAAGGGGGTGCTGGTGAAGCAGAAGCCTGATGGAGGCAGTGGTGGAGCCCTGACTGTTATCAGAAAATGAAGAATATTTATATGTTTTTTTGAACTCAAAAAGAAGTGTAGATGACATTTTGATCAGATGTTACTCAGACTAGGTGAGGTACTTCACACACCTCCTGTCCAGAGCTGTGTGCAGTCCCCATTTCGCATATAGCTATGTTTCATTATAGTTTAAGGGTGATAAAGACAAGGAAGGGAGCAGTGGTTTGGTTCAGTTGTAGAGAGGGAAGCCTGTGAGGAAGCATTGCCTGCGAAACAGTAGGTCAACTTCTAACCTCTCCGTTTTAATTTATGGAGGCTTCTGGTGTGATGTCACAATGTGGTGACCAGATCCAACATGCTGAAAATCCAGCTTGCACAGTTTGCAGGAGAAGGGAAAAGAAATTTGTTGGAGTTGGAATTTTTTAGATTATAAATGATGTAACTGAATATTGTTGAGAATCCATTTTTATTTACAAAACCCTGAAATCTGTGTCAAAGCTTTCAGTTCTAGAACACAAGTCAACCACAAAAATCCTACTGCAGTATGCCCTGAGGTCATTTTTATGCTTGCACTGACATGACTTCATACGGTTTTCTAACCTAATTAACAAAACACGTTTGGACACTTCGACAAGCTTTGTACAAACTGAAAGGGGGATAAAAGAGAACACTGTTTTGTGCATTTGATAAATGGGCAATTGTTTTGCAAATGAAATTCTAAATCTTATCTGCCATTAGCAAACAGCTTCAAGCAATATATTTTATGAACTTTATTGTATCTACAATCACTATTTGTAAGATTGTGTATCTAAGAAATATCTCCAGTATTTCATTTGATGCATTGTACAACTGTGGAAATGTTTTAATTTTTTAAAAATTATTAAACTACTGTGTTATGTGTGTTGTCTGTCTCTCTCTCTCTGTGTGTGTGTGTGTGTGTGTGTTATCAAAAGATTGAAAAACATGTTTCATAGAGCAGATCAAGCTTCAAGAGGTTAAACTGAGTATGCCATTGGCCACTCCGTTCATAATGGCAACCCTCACAATTTTCCAGACACAGGAGATGATCATGTGTGACGAAGGAAGCAGCCCAGAGGGATGTGAATGGAAACAGAGTGTTAGGGATAAAGTTGAGTGTCGTTTCTCACTCTGACGTCCATACTCGGTCTTACACAACCTCACCAGTCAGAACCTTCCTTCAGATGTACACAGATGTAATTCCTCACCCATGTGTGCAAAATGTTCCTTCTCTGCTCCTCTACAGGAGGACTTGACTTATCTTGGGATACACATTTTAAATTTAGGTTTGTTAACTAAAAAAAAAGAAAAACATAAAAAAGCAGTGATCACTTATATTTAAGAAAAAAAATAAAGACACACAACAGACCCAATGTAATGTTTTAGCTTCCAAGGAAGCAAAAAACTCTAAAATCTAACTGTCTCTTGTGTTGCTGAGGGCTTGTCATGATTTAAATGAATGCTGGAGGTCTGCGGAAATGTAAACTACTCAATAGTTTTAAAAAAATCCCCACTGGAGGACAGTCCATTGTCACATTTGAAAGGATGAAACCTGCTTGCATCTGATTTATCACTGAATGAAATTACATGTTGTGCTTCTGTGAAATTTCTTGTTGAATCAGTGTGTCTTTGTTCCTCCACTACATAATAAATGAAAAGCGTGCTGTGACTAAAGAGAGTGACTTGAACCTGAACAAAGAGCAGTGTAGTCTGCAATGTACAAATCACATCAAAGTTCAAGATATATGAGAGACGTTTTTTTTGTTTGTTTGTTTGTTTGTTTTTTTTTTATGACATGCAAAGTTGTGTATCATCTGCATAGCAGAATTTTGCCATTTGATCCCCATTTTCATTTTCTGTTTAAAACATTCTGGAACATACAATCTCAACAGGTGACACTGGTACAAAAAGCTTCAGTTATCTATTTACAGCACATAAACCATGATTGTTTTTTCTCATTTAAATAATGAACATTTCTGGAAATCATCAACATTTTTCAGTTGTACATCTTTTTGATAACTGCTGTGAAGATAATGGAGTTGTGCTTAATATAAGCAGATTAAAATAGATGTTGGTTCACAAACAATATGATGGGGGTTTTTTTCTGCTATTTTGAACAGAATCATCAGATGAATTTGAGAAAAAAATAAACCAAAGGGGAAAACTAGTTATTTTGCTTTTTAAGTCATATATAGGCTAAATGTAAGCCTTTGCTGCATCTCATTAGCTCCAGGTAAACCATGGAAAAGTCTTGGAATGTGAACATCCTGATTCAATCCAAACTGACCACAACTAAAAACAGAATATTTGGTCTGTGGAATTTCATTTGGGACCAAATAAAGCAGTTTATTTTGGAGTTAGTTCTTCTTTCCAGTCACATCAGATGGAGCATCCTGCAGACAGAGTTTGGTGGTGTCTCTTTCTTTTAGCTCCCTGACGTATTTCCATCAAAGGGACGGAGGTGTGACGGGCGTCCAGGCTGAAGGCAGTCGACCGTGTGGTGAGACGTCGTACTGAGCAGCCGTGTCATGCACTTCTGTGGCTGCGCCGCTGTCATACATGGGAGAGCCAGAGGAGGGCACTGTGACTGAGTGAGACAGGCTGGGATAGTGGCTGCCGGACCCTCGGAGGAACTGGGAGCTCAGGCAGCTGTTTATCCCTCCATTCTGGGACACTGGAGTCAGGGGCGAGTTACTCACTGACCAAAGGCTGGTGTACTGACTGTACAGACAGATGGGCAGAAAAATGCTCACTCACCTTTTCTTGCAAAAGTTCAAACATGGCATCCATAAAGTATATAGTTTTTACTTGTGTTGAATTTGTTCAATATATGTGAGAATGTTAAGTCAATCTTTATAGAAAATGTAGTGAAGAAGACAAGATCTAAAGCCACACTTAATTATGAGGCCAATTCAGAGAAAATATGCAACATATCTGTTTGTTTTTCAAGATTTTGTGTTTAACAGCCTTTAAGGGGAAACTATGACATTCTGGAACAATGTCAAAGCAATATGTTACACTTCTGCAACCTCAGAGATACAGTTAATCTAAGCTTTTTTTTTTTTTTAAAGCTTCAGCTGTTGGAATTGTGAAAGTCTTTTTTATGCAACCTGAAAGATGAACCTAACATCCCTCATCTTTAAGCAGAAATGGATTGCTTTCAATTCAACTCTGCTCAAAATCAAGACATAAATGAAACTAAGTATTCCTCCACAAACATCTGATTTAAAGTCAAGTTTTGCACGATCTTTTGCTTCATATATTTGTACTTCTTTTTTCACCAGTGTTATTAAGTTTATCTGTTGCATGTTTGTCTTATTTGTATGTGTAATTTGCTATTCCACCACAATTTGTACCGCCTTGCCATTTGTTCATTTGCCCTGTCTCTGTTTACTGATCAGAAAACAAGTTGAATATGTTTGTGGAGAGATGAATACTTGCTTCTGAGATTTAAAATCATCTCAATCATTTATTTCTGTTTAATTTTGTTGTTTTGTCTTTCTCAGTCTTCTAATGTTTCTCAGTAGATTTAATAAAAAATAAACTAAGAAAAACAACACGAACCTGGAGTTGGTACCAGAGGTGGAGTTGTGGGTCATGGGCATCATGCTCGAGTGTGTTGGCATCTGAAGACCGGACCAGTTGTCATGGCTCGAGAGCATCGACAGACAAGGTGAAGAGTTATCAGAGTAACCGGCTGCAATGCAAACAGAGACACTTGGGGTTAGTGGTTTCAGATATATCAGTCAGAAATCAAGTTATGCCACTTAACTTGTTGTATTCTAAGCACATATCAGGACTTGTCGCCCTGATATCCGTATGACAGTTAAAGGGGTGAATCTTATACATTCCTTGTCTGAAGCCCGACCATTTACAGCTCTGTGGCTCCACTCACACAAAAGCCAGAGGAATGCAAAACATTCCCGGCGCAGCAACATTTGTTTGAGTTTCTTGTTAATAGTCGGGGGAGGAAGTGGTGTGATTCTTGGATGTATGAAGGTAAAGGGAGGAGGGGAGGCACTCACTGGGTGAGTTGGTTCTGTGGCCGTATGGGCTGGCGTAGGGGGCAGATCGGTGGTTCCTCAGGGTGGAGTAGCGCTCGCAGCCGTGGGACGGGGAGAGGGAGATGGGACTCCCAAACTGGCTGTGAGGACTGGCAGGAGGGCAGAGGGAGCCTGTGCCTGGAATAAACCAGCTACCTACTGGCTCCACAAAGGAGAAAAGACAAGATGGGACCAGATGAGGAACACAAACTCATCAGTTTGAGATGAAAAAGTACAAATTAAAAATGAATCAGTGTGGTATATACTTATACTATAAACTTACATTGAGAGTAACCAGATTGTTGGTTTTCATTGGCATCTTCTCTTAAGTCTTTGGTATCACTCCTGCAAGAAGACAGATTGTTTTCTTTGTACTACACAACTTGTTGAACTAACTCGTTAATGCAAATGTTCTTTGCATGTGTTCTTACCTCTCTTTTGCATCCAGAAAGGCCTTGGCAAAAGGATTGTACTTTATTTTCAGTGCAGTTATCTAAAATCCAAAAATGTAACACATAAAAAGTCATCAATAAACCTTCAGAGAACGAACCACAGCGTGCGTAAATGCCGTGCGTAAATTACGCATGTATTTTACGCGCATACACAAAACTTTTTTTTTTTTTAATGACATTGATGTTATTGATAGGAGCTATTAAGTTGTTTGTTTTTTTTTACAACGAAAATAAATAAACAAACTTCGTATTGCCAACCTCTTCGTTTTGGTATGCTGTCACTGCAATGAACTGTGTCTCTGGGAATGAGTGGCTGGTGATCATCCTGCGCGGGCCTCCGACACGAACTATATGGATCCGTGGTTCGTACTTGTGTAAGGAATTTAACATTATCTGAAGAAGAAAAAAAAAAAACAAAAAGATGACAATCTCATAAACCGAAATCATGATTTCAAAGAGTATGTAATTTGAAATTAAACAATGGACTTTAGAAACGAGAACAGAAAAAGGGTGAAAACTATAGAAACTACCATGAGAAACAAACTTACCTGACCTCCTCCGTTGAGTTTATTAGTGAGTTTGACTTTACTAAAGGAGACGGGAGCTTTCATCCAGTGCGCACCGAAGTTCGGAGAGTCTGGATGGATGTACACACAGCTGGGAGTCTGAGGCTCAGGTTTGCCACCAGGCACCCACTCCCCGTTCACATATTTCCACCTGTGGTTGTCCGCAGATGAGAAGTCCAGCAAAAAAGAATACATTGCGTTCGGGTCCAGTCCAGACACATTGACTTTCAGCACTGGAAACATGCGCCTTGAGAAAAACATGATATTAGGTGTTATATTTAATTAAAACTTTAAGCCATCTATCTATCTATCTATCTATCTATCTATCTATCTATCTATCTATCTATCTATCTATCTATGTCACACTGTTTTGCGCATTAAAGCTCACCTGCCATTCTTTGTAACAATCATTTCATTTGTAAGATCCTTAAACTTTTGCCACAGCTCGTTCTCATCCAAAGACACCTTGAGCTCCCTCTCCGTGGGGTCTCCCTTCTCGCTGCCGGCCTGCAGCTCGCTCTCCACGGCGCTGAGGAGATGATCCACCCGGTACTGGACGGCCTTGCTGGGACACTCGCCAGCGCCTGTCGCCATCCTGTCCAACAGCTCCAGGGCTGGATAGTTGTAATCACAGGGATTATTGAAGAACCTTAAGCTGCTCCAGAATCTCTTTCCTCTTCTTCTTGTGCATTCACACAGACACACTTTTTACAGCTCCTAAATATATAGGCTGAAGAGAAGCTCCATCTCTGGATGGGTGTTTGGAGCAGAGATGGTTGGCTCGTCTCCTCTTTGATCTTTGCGGGCTTGTCACAGATTGGCTGGGAGCGGCCATATCACTGAGGCCCACAGGATGACAGCGTTTTGAATAAAGCAGTTTAACCGTCTTTATTACATCAACCTGTAAATATTGACACTTAGATCAAAGCCACACCTGCAGAAACCAAGACACTGTAGGCTGACCATGGCTGCTCTGCAGTCTGGCAAAGGTCAGACATTAGTTCAGATTTTAATCTTATTTCTTCAACCTCTTTCCTGAGATTTTTTTTTGTGTAACTGCTACGTTTTTCTAACTTAATAAACCTGTTCACATTTGAATTACATCTTAACAGTGGTGTGTTAGTGGGTTCACACTGTGCCAGTCAGGTGGAAAAACAAGAACTTCATCTATAGCATTAATGGATTAATTAATAAATGAGTGACTTCATAAATAATCAAACAGATTTTAAAATGCACTCAAATGCAAGAACCACTTAATACATTTATTACACACAGGTTTCACTTAATAAAACAAGCTACTCGCTTTAAATATTCATCACCTCTCATCAACTCTAATTGCAGTTTAAAAATAACAATATCACATATTTTTTTAATTTCAGCAAACTTACACAAATATTTAAAAAAAACAAAACAGTACCAACACTTGATATTAAATTGTTGTGCAATATTATTATAAGACTATAATACAGTTCACTAGTGTAATGTGGACAAAGCACATAGTTTAATGTATGACAATGAGCATGTTTTCAAAATTAAAGACATGAAAAAGTCTCTAAATTGTACATTACACATAACAGACTAAAAAACAGCACATATTCTTCATGAAGAGATGTTATGATGGTGACATTTTCAGTGATCTGTGTTTTCTGTATAGTTTCTCCATAGTTTAAACCCACAGTCAATTATCTAAAGAGAGAACAGAAATACATTATTTACAAAAAAACAAATAAAATAATGAAAAAAAAAGGAAAATCCACTCTGAGAGACACTTGTACCTCTACATGCTTTTGCTGACACACATCTTCAATGGATAACGGATCAGGTGTTGTACGACAGTTCACTGCTGTGTCCCGATCCAGAGGCTCCAAACATCCATGGCTGCCAAGAAAACACCCACACATGCACAATGCCAAAGTGACAATCATTCTTCCTCAGACAAAAAAGAAAAAAAGTTTTGCATATTTGCCTGTGTGACGTCATTCTGCTCAGGTGTTGAGGACATAGCGGTTGGTGATTTTGGACACTTCTTGGTTGTTTCAGAGAGCAGAGACGTGGCTGGCTGGCTTGGCTCCTCTTCCCTTGTTTGGAGTCAATGACTGGAAGGACCTGTGAAAGAACGGGAAAGGAAAAAACGCCGTCACTGACAACTGAGCAAATAAAACATATGCAGTGATTTACATCCGTGTAGTGCAGCGGTGTCATTCTCACAAACAGCCACTGCATGCTGGTCATGCTGTTGCTATGGTGGCTCCCAAAAAAATAGAAAACGTTAAAAGCAGATTGTGTGTGTGTGACAGCTACGTGTTAGCTTCCGTAGAGCTCTGTGGTGTTGTGTTGTGGCTGGTTTGTGTTACTAACCAAATCTTGGACGCCTCGTTCCTGCTGCCAGCACAGTGAGTCTGTCTCTCTGTCCAGCAGTCTGGACCAGAGTTCACAGCAGGCAGAGAAAAACAAACTCCAACTCAGTTTAAAGAGCAGTTGAAAGACTTCTTCAACACGCTTCTCATCTTCTGTCTCTTTATTAGTTCTGAACGTTCCTAAAAAACTCCAGAAAAAGCTTAAGTGATCAGTGCATTATATCCTTTATGTTTCCGTTTGGTATTACTGACCTCTGGGTGAAGGCCATGTTGCCTAAAGACAGCTCATACATTCGCCTCAGCTGTCTCACGTAAATCTCTGCTTTCCTGCTCTTCTCAGGAACCTTGGGGATTATCTGGTTTAAGAGAAAGTGCTGAACATGAGCATTTCTCTCTGTTGTTCTGACCTGCTACATATCCATCCATCCATTATCTATACACCGCTTAATCCTCGCTAGGGTCGCGGAGGGGCTGGAGCCTACCTGCTACATATGAACCTACCAAATCAGGCATCTTGCTCTGGAAGCTCCTCATGAAGTTTGGCTGCAGGACTGCAAATGTGGGGGCTTCCATCTGTGGGTGGCACACATTACATTTATTTATCATTTCCCAGTCGATCAACCATTTTGTAGATTGAAAAGAGAGCTCTCCTTGAATATGAGCTGAGGTGATCGTGGCGTAAAAGTCGGAGGTGTTATAACCAGTGTCATTTCCCACAGTCCTAGTGTCCCAATTGGCGCCTACCTCCTCTCCTCCAATGTCCCACCCAGCGCTAACTGTCACACCAGGCCACTTCCTGATGTTAGTCTGCAGCGCTGGGAATTAACATTATTGATCTATATGGTGCTATAGATCCCCCATCCTCAAAGGATAAAATGCAAGTGCAACTCAAATAAAGTTTTGAGAACACCCAGAGCTTGTATTGACTCAGCTTTGAGGTTTTTTAAAGGTTCAAAAACCTGAATAGTGTTTAAACTCATTTACTACAAACCACTTTAATGGTGCTGACTGTGGATTTTTATATTTGGTTCTTTCGAATTTCACCACTGGTTTCCATTTGATCCAATTGAGTGAGACAATCAACTTTAAAACACACAAGTTTTTTAAAGTTATGATGTTACTTTAGATGCTGAAGATTTCCTTTTTTAAAATCACCTTTTCTATTCAACCACAAATGACCACTGACAGGTGGGTCTACAGTATGTTCACTGTTACCCCTTTTCCACCAAACCGGTTCCAGTGCTAGTTCCGTGCTAGTGCCTGACTTAGCACCAGTTCTTTGTGTTTCCATCGCCTAAGCACCGGCTCCAGGCTCTCAAAACTGGTGCTCAGCAAGCACCAACTCTTTGCTGGGCCAGAGCTAAGCACCAAGTACATCAGGGGCTGGGGGCGGGGTTATCGTGACCGATGAATGGTACACATAAGCGGTGATTTGTGTGGTTTTTTGCCAGGACATCCCTGGTCCGATTACTGATGTACTGGAATGAGTGCAGGGACACATGGAAGTTTTGCACAAACTGTTGCGTGCTGAAAGCCAGTACAATTGTGTCTCACCAGCAGCAAACAGTACTTTTATAACCACGGCGTACTGCGGTATGTACGCTGAGAAATGCGGTCTTCTCGTGAAAAACGAAGCGCACCTGTTTATTCTGCTCATAGAAAAGACCGCATGGGAAAAAAAATCACTTGGCTTCTTCTTGGACAAATCTAACATTAGAATGCCCTACTTTACTCTTTTTGAGATCATTTTTGGTCGCACACCAGTCTGAGCACCGCGGCCACCAACAGCAACTGCCACAGCCTGCTATGTTCAGCAAGTCAAATGTTTTGCCTGTGACAATGTGAGAAGGTCAAACAAATGAAAAAGTTGGTCACACCGGTAAAAAAGTTAGTTTGGAGTCCTGTGTGGACTTCTGTGTGGCGGGAGCGTTCTTTAGTAAACGGCTACGTATGCAGTGACGTATGGCGTGGCTCTAACTTGGCTCCTTGCTGATGGAAAAGCAACCGGTTCTTAGGAGGTGCCAGGCTGCAACCATCTAAGCACTGGCTCTAGCACCAGCACAGAGCTAGCAAATGGTTCTTCTTGGTGGAAAAGGGGTATCTGATCTATTACATAGAACAAATACGTTTCTACAAAATCAGTTTTGTATAGAAATACATGGAGTTATTTTACTATTAAGAAGGGAGAATAAGGGGTAAACATATCTTATCTGTCCACTATTGTATTCCCAATTTAAAAAGATTAGTTAAAAAAAAAGAAAAAGAAAAGAAATGTATGGAGGTTGCATGGCTTTCAAATTGTGAAAAACAAACTGCGGTATCTAATGCAGCCATATAAAGACATGTAAACTGGGGTGACGCCATAACTATGTGGTCAGGACACATGCCACATGGGTGCAAATTCCTTCTAGCAGTGAGTTCCTGGTTCAGTTCCTGGCCAAAAAGAAAATAAAAATGCCTAAAAGAAAAAAATAAACTTTGATATAAATTGTATAAACTTTGTATAATTTTAAATAAGTGGGCTAAAAACCTTGCTTTTATCAGTGAAATTGTTCTCATGAACCTATCACAAAAATATAGGGCTTTAGCTAAGTGAAAAACACAGCTGTGTATTGTAATTTGATTAAACAGAAAACTAAATATCACCTTACAATTACCATAGTGATACCATAGAGTACACAATAGGGAGGAAATCAGAGAGAACTACACTAATTATTGGCTTCCTGCCTCAGGTCAAATAAACTTCTCCTTAGAGATCTGTAACCTCACCAAATACACTATAATTCATGAAAGGCAACAATACTTATTACAAATATATAACAAGCTCATGGAGTAAAATATGTTCCTACACACTGGTACTTCAGGGGCCTCGCTCTAAGCTTGGATTGACACCTTGAGGATGTCAGTAGCGGTGACAGGTCTGTCCTGCAGCAGGAGATCTGAATATTTCAGTCCGGAGCTGCGGTGAGGAACGCTCCTGCATGCCTGCTGGCTTTGACCAGTCACTGTTTGCCTTCCCCAGCTCTCCCTTCAGCCAGGCTCGTCCTCTGTTTGCTTAGGACCATTTTGACACGGAGGTGAGAGAAAAAATGAGTCCTGCATGCTTGCTCATATATGCTCATCTCCACACCTGAGCATAACCTCTCTCCAGTGTTCTCACTTTCCTGAGTGTCTTTAGCAGCCTGATCTCTGGTATCACTGAAAATATTTAAAACAATGCTCTATGATGTACTATTC